TTGCATAATTTCGTACGTTCATATTTCAGGAAACAATGAGCTAAGACTTAGCTTACATGTAAGAAGTCTAAATCTACGCCATATCCCTTACAAACCCTAACGACAATTCGCTGAAATACAAGTTAGCCTGATATGTCATCAAGCAAACAAACGCTGAAGTTAATATTTGATATGCCGATTTTCGCTAATTTTAGACACGTCCCAAAATATGCTCCCGATTTTGAACATTAATATCTCCGTGAATTTTTAAGTAAAATACAACTGTAATATATATCAAAATCTAAGTTAGTCCTTCCTCTATTTGGTGCAAGTTATTTCTGTTTGATAGCTTTACTTGTTTAGAAGTTATTATAAATCAAACCGGAGTACTTTTTTTTGGGACACCCGGTATATATATATATATATATATATATATATATATATATATATATATATATATATATATATATATATATATATATATATATATATATATATATATATATATATATATATATATATATATATATATAAATATATATATATATATCTATATATATATATATATATATAAACTATACACGGAATTCGAAAAAATGTCCTCGCGGGAGCCTCGCCCGCTTCAATTAAACTAAAAATGTATCCTTCCAACGTCGATCGAAAGGCTTGCAGTAATAAATTTACGTGGTGTTTCCACAAACACTGAAAGTATTATATGTTTTATCGCCATGCAAATCTGCAAAGAACGTAATTGAAACATACTCGTTATATTTGAAAAACTGCCACGCAGCTCTAAGACCAGATTCTAGTGCACCTTGGATCCAACCATTCGCGAACGAAATAGCTTCCCCACCAAAGAAAATAGGACGAATTTTTTTCGGTTCCAGTAAAGTGCGAATATGTTGCATATAGCTGTATGGAAGCAATTGAACAAACGCTCCTTGTGCAGACGGATCAGTGTACCAAGACTGGATGGCCCCGGCTTCAAAGCTATCTGCAACTTTCGATCCATTCTTGTCTTCGTCCAATAAGCCTTCGTAAAGAACTTGGACCTCACGCAAGGCCTCAGTAATAGCCTCATCTTGTGGCTGCGAACCGAATAGGAGGGCCTCCTTGTCCCACGTGTAGAGCTCTAGTACTCCCCGTTTTGACGTTTTGTCGGATCTTTCCTTGCTTGGGTATACAATCTGACTGATAGGTAAATCAGTTTTGGAAATTCCTCCGTCAACGATGGGAAACTTTCCTTTCTCCCAGAATCTTTCTCGAAATCCAAGGAATATCTTAGTCGAGGGCTCGTAACGAATACCTCCAATGGCATCATTCACACTCTGTGGGAGAGCTGGGCTAAACTCCACCTGACGCATGATATTTAGTGGAACGGTAAGAATGACAGCATCGGCTTCAAAATCAACGTCGTTCTTTGTCTGGGTTTGTCGACCAGACACTTTGACTTGGTAGGAACACTTGTCATCTCTAGGTTTTCGCCACTCCACTTTTCTAACTGTGATTCCATAATGGATATCATTTTCTAAGCAGTATGGGTCTGCAATATCTTTGATAAAGGCCTCGGGTAATTCCTCCATACCGTTCTTAAGGGTCTTCATTTTAGGAGTCCACCATTTCCCGATTTCCTCTGCCAGCATGGTTGCCACAGATACCTAAAAAGTACGCTATTAGTTACTGGCTTACCAGAACAAATACCTGTGCTGAGTTATTTAATGTAATCACATTTTACCAGTGTTACAAACTACTAACTACAATTACGTAAAAATTACAACTTCTTCTCCGAAAAGTATACTGAATTATTAGAAATTACAAATGACTTTCGTTCAAACGTAATTAATTACCAATTACCATGATTGCTTTTTAAAATGTAATAATTGATTACCAATTGCTAATCAGATTACATTATATTTATAAGGCTCTAATAATATTGAGCAACTGCAATATCAAAATGCATCAGCAGAACT